GGCAGGGAGGTCTGTCTGTGTATGGGAAGTGGAGGGGCCCTCAGGGAGGATGAAGAGCAAGGAATCCTGTGGGTGTGGGGAGGAGGCCACCAGCAGCCTCCCCTGGGGTCCTCCTGGAGGAAGGAGAGCGTGGGAGGCCGGGGTAGGAGAGTAGTGCTGGGTGGGCAGGGAGCCACAGCCAGCTCTGTGGCCATCTCCCAGACACAGGCAGCTGCCAGAGCCTTGCCTCTGGCCGTGGAGGAGCTTGTGCCCATGGAGCTGGGTGGGCCAGCCACAGGCTTCTCCCCTCCTTTTCCATGATGCAGTCAACACAGGCATGTGAGTCTTGCTGGGCCAGGCCAGGTGAGCACGCTGGAAGGATAGAAAAGGGTCACAGACACAAGGGACATCCGCCCTACAGACTTTAAAAGGTAACTTGAACCTTTAGGCCTGCCAAGGCTTCCCACAGCTACCAAGCCTCAGCTGCTTCCCACAGGTACGAGGTGTGGCCCTTTCAGGGAGAATCTTTTGGAAGAGGTTAGCATCGTCACAGTCAAGCAGGGGCCAACTGATTGGAAAAATAGGAAGTCCTGGAGGTTGGGCCATCTGCCAGCTCAGGCAGTGACTGCATCTCCTAAAGGTGGTGACCAGTAGAAAGGATGTCCCCCTTCTTCCTGCAGGGGCCACTGTCTGTGCTCTGGAGACAGCATGGTGACAAGGGGAGACAGAGTCAGAGCCACACCTCCAAGGTGAAGGCCATTCCAAGAGGAGAGCAGCTAACGCAGGAGACTGAGTCTAGGGGAGGGCGGCTAGGAGAGTGGGCCCAACTTGTGTATGATGATGTCTTCCAGGTCTGGCTCCCTGGACAGATAAAGGCCCAATAGAGCAGGTACCACCCCTAGGGCCAGTAAGATTGCCACATGGTAGCAGCTTCACAGCTCTTTGTTGAATAAATGAACGAATGAACTCTAACAAACAAGAGTAAGGGAATCGTAGTGTCTAGTGCAGAGGATGCGTGTGTAAGAAAAGGGATGCTAATGACGGCATTTGTTCCTTGGAAGAAGACCAGAACTTAAAGAGGGAGAGACCCAGCCAAGGCTTTCTTCCTGGGCTCCCAGAGGGAATTAAACATTAATTAAACATTAAACGTTCTCTCCCCACCCCAGCAAGATGTTGATAGGAGGTTGTCTAGACCAGCGCTTCTCAAACGCTAATGTGCACACAGACCACCTGTGGATCTGGTTGAAAAGCAGATCCCAGACAGCAGGTCTGGGTGGGGCTGAGATCCTGCATCTCTAATGAGCTCCCAGGTGATGCTGATGTTACTAGTCCAAGGGCCCACTTTGAGCAACAAAGTGGCAATGGTGAGGATTAAGCCACGGTGGTGTCTGGCCAGGGGTCTGAGCTCAGTAGTCGTAAACTGATGTGATTACAGCTGTGTACAGATGGAAACAGAGTTGAGGAAGGAAGGGCCAAAGACAGAGAAGGAGACAGCAGGTGGGGGAAGAGAAGCTGTCAATTCAGGCAAGCGTGGGCAGACTTTTTCCATAAAGGGCCAGATTTAAGATATTTAGACTTACCTGGTCATGGGATCTCATATCATGAAATGGCCACAGGCACTAGGTAACCACAGGCATCAGGTAACAGGTGTGGCTAGACTCCAAAAGAGTGTATTCACAGAACCTGCTGGGTGGCCACTGGCTTCATAACCCCTGAACTGGGTCACTAACCCATTAACTGGTTATTCCCCAAGTTAAGCAGCAGCCTTGACTGCCTTGGATGGGAAGAGACATTTCCACACTGCTGTGCTTTGAATGTTTTTCCCCACAGTTTATGTGTTAAAAACTTAATCCCTTAATCATCAGCGAACAGGTTTGAAAGGTGGAGAGGTGATGAGGTCATACAGCTCTGCCCTCATGAATGACTCAATGTCGTCATTGCTGGAGTGGGTTTGTTATCTCGAGAGTGGGCTGATTATAACCGGTTGGCCCCCCGTGCACTCTCTCACCATGTGATGCCCTCTGCCACGCTATGACATGGAAAGAAGACCCTAACCAGATGCAGCCACTTGCTCTTGGACTTCCCAGTCTCAAAACCCCAAATAAATTTTAGTTCATTAGCCAGTTCATGGTATTCTGTTCTAGAAGCACAAAACAGACTAAGAGAGATGCTCCCTCTCCCCATCACTGTCACAAATATGGGAGCTCAAATATGGGAGTGTGCACCAGGCTGGAGCCCCACCTCAGTCAGCTCCTTGGCTTCATACCCCAGCAGCATTGGCAGGCACTGATGGAGATTGGGAATCCCCAAAGCAAAACAAACAGGAACTCACAACTGGGAGCACTTAGACCCCCGGCGCCCGGAGCACTTAGACCCCTGGCGCCCAGTGGCCCACCTCCTGCCTGCATCTGTAGTCTGAGAAGTGGGATCCAAGCCATGAGCTGCCCTACGCTCCCCTGGGTCCCACTCACCCTCTCAGATAATTGGTAACAATAATGAAACACATCTAAGGCCATAGACTTTCAGTTATACTTTGTGTATCTATTTATTTGTTTTTCTTTTCTCTCTGCTTGGGTTTACCTGGGAACAGTTCGGAAGTGCCTTTCCATAAGTGCTCCTGGTTGACACCAAGGTGCAGCAGGCCCAGCCCTTCTCAGTTATTCAGGGAAGCCCTCCAAGGCTCAGCTATAATTAGAAGTCAATTAAATTAGAAACCATTCATATGGTTCTTGGAAGGCCTCCAGCCCTGCTGAGAGCCTCTGGCCCTATCCACAGACTCAGTGGAAACCTATCTCTGCTAACCCCACCATCCTGAAGCCAAGTCCAGGGCTGTTGGGCGGGGGATCAGTTCCCTCCTATCAGCTCCCTTTCAGGCCTTTGCTTGCACCCAACCCTCCCCCACCTGGCGGGCTGCAGGTTGCCCTTGCCCCCCCGCCACCACCCTGACCTCCCCTTGCTGCCTGCCCCAGCTTGCTCTGTTGCTAGAAGGAAAACACCCAGCGAGTTCACCGCTGGGGTGGCTGGCTTTTTAATCTTGCCTCAGTCCCTTTAGTGTTTTCCAAATGGTAAATGCAGCACTGAAGTGCAAGCAGTGTGTGCAAAAGGCAGTTTTTTGAACCTCATCAAGAGGGTCTAGAAACAGAACCCTCCCACAAAGCCCCCTGAAGGTCTCCACCAAGTGAGACACCTCCAAGGTGACTGGGCCAACAGCAGGGGCCCAAGCAAAGACCCAGGACCACCGCTGTGCTTTGCCACTGACCCTAATCAGGTCTGTCCTCTGGAATCACATCCAGGACCCCCTTCCCCAGCCTGTTCTTTCAGCAGCCAGGAACACACGCTTTTTCCTTTATCACAGAATTCATACTCTTGTAGACTGTTCAGACAATACAGACCTGCACGAAATAAAAACCAAACATTCCCCGGAACCCTCACTCAGTCGTTGGTCACCCCCATCCGATTTCAGTTCCTGCCAAAAACTCTTTGCTGGAAGTTCAGCAGGCATCACTCCAGATCTGCTTTCATGCTTTTAGAAACTTTACAGATACACCCGGAGGCATTCTTCCGTACAATTTCTTTCTCACCCAACAACAGGTGGTAGAGCCCTACTTGGTGTTCCAGGAAACTGAAGTTCCTTTGGATTTTTCTTGGCTGTTTATTTGTTGCAATGGTAAACAAGCATGCTATCTTAAGGCTCTGCCTGGATGCTGCCCACCCTCTTCTTACGGGAGTGAGGCACGTGCTGTCACACTCAGGAGGCAGGACCGGCGTGCTCCCTAGGGACCTCGGGAAGGCCAGCTGACGGAAGCTCCCTAGCAGCCTTCCTCTACGGACTTGGGCATTGGGTGTATCCCCTAAAGGGCCACTCTTTTTCCGGAAATCTCAATGAACAAGCCCTTAAGTCCTGGGAGATTTGGAAAAGAAGAGTGTGTGTGTCGATCCCCCTGACTGGGCCCCCTGGTCTTTTGCTCTCCTCCTGGGTCCCCTGGCTGCTGACTTACAAAGCTCCTGCCTCCTTCTCCAGCTGAATTTCTTTATTTCTAATTAATAATCTTTGGCTGCTTTTCTCCCTAATGCTTTTAGGATGTTGCAGGACTTTTCTGAAAGAAAAGGAGGAAGGGAGGGAAGGCTCCCGTGCATCATGGCATATGTTCCTCGTGGTATTTTTGTGTGTGATATTGGGAGTTACTGGTTTTCATGACCAATGATGGCTTGCTAAGGACAAGAGGATTCTGAGGGTAAAAGGTCTTGGGGAGTTTGGGTTTCATGGCCCAGTTGGGCTTCTGGTCCGAGTCAGTGGTTGGTTCTGGAAGGTTCCTCACACAACCCATTCAGAAAGTGAAAAAACAAACAAGCAAAAGAACAACAACAACAAAAAACTCCTCCTTCAAGGCAGTGCATTTGTGTAGTATTAATTGGTAAAAGCATCTGAACACCTGGGCTGCAGCCATGCTCAGTCCCTTAAGTAGCTGTGTGACCTGGGCAAGTCACTTAACCTTTCTGGGCTTCCACTGTCTCAACTGTAAAGTCAGGTTGTTGGACTTCTCCACTTTGATGGACGACCTATTCTTAACAGAGAGAGGGAAGAACCTTATCGTGGGGCTGGGAGAGTATCTGGAGGGGGACAGACAAGAATCTGATTCCTGTCAGTCTTTCCTGGGGTCCTCCTGTATCCTGAAGCCCAAGGGCCAGGATCAGCCTGGAGGACTCCAAACTTAAAGTTCATGTAACGCTGGGTTTCTCCAAATCCTCTGAGCACGTGAAACACCATCACTAACCTTGGGCTTCACCATGGACCCGTGTGCTCCCGGCCTCCTCTCAGGCTCCTGCCTGGGCATGCCCCAGAGTTAGCCCAAGTGGCATGGGTATAGCCTCAGCTTCACTTCTGCCTTATCTTTTAGGGTGTATGGTTTCCCCTCTATTTTCTGGGAGACACCTTATATCCAGCGGGGTTAAATAAAGGTAGCCAGAGCCCCAGTCGGGAAGGTACCACCAGGGTCCCGTTAATGACATGTGTCTTTCAGGTGAGCCTTCAGGAGAGGATGGCCCATGTGGGGGACTACACACAGACACCCTGGCTCCCTGTCCTGGTGGTAAGTGTTCTGAGCCCCTTACCCCCACAGCACCCTCATCCTGGTGACGGTTGGACCATTTCTTAGCCTCTTCAGCTATAAAATGGGAATGCTGTTCACAGTCCCTCCTTCACAGGGTTCTTCTGAGGGTGAAATGAAACCATGCCTGCAAAGCACAGAACTCTGCCCCAGGCTGAAGTTAGATTTATCTTGTTGGTAGGTCCCTTCATAGAGTCTCATGAATAGAAAAGTTCTTGAGTGCTCGTTTGTGGTGTGATACACACAGCCCAGTGTCTATGTGATGAGCCCGTGCTTGGGAGTCATGCAGCTGAGAAAGAACCAGAAGACTCAGCCCCCCACCCCCATCCTCCTTGACACCAAGGTGTTCTGAGGAGCCACCGTATTAGAGGCTCAGTGAGGGACAGGGGCACCTCCTCCATGACCTTGGCAAGTGTGTAGATGAGGAGTAGATGAGGAGAACTCAGAGCAAGCCTTGATGGTGGGATGGGGCTTGGCCAGCGGGGGTGAGGAGGGGTAGTTCTGGGGGTGCTGGCCAGTGGGAAGGTGCCTGCTCGTGAGTGCTCACTGCTGCTAAGTCTCCACTGGCTCCTGGCTGATCAACCAGTCCTGGAGACTTAGCAGCAGTGAGCACTCACGAGCAAGCACCTTCCCAGATCAAGACCCCAGCAAAGGTCCCACCACAGGGCAGCCCCTTCCTATGTCAACCTTGGACTCTTGGGGGAGGCACACACATTTCTGAGGCTTGGAGGCCACAACACTCCCCTTTGTTGGCAGGTGTCTCTGATGTGCTCGGCGCGAGCAGAATACTCAAACTGCGGCGAGAACGAGTACTACAACCAGACTACGGGGCTGTGCCAGGAGTGCCCCCTGTGTGGGCCGGGGGAGGAGCCCTACCTGGTAAGGCCCCTCCTGGGGCCCGGTGCACTCTCGGGGGAGGCCTCCTGCCTGCAGCATTATTGCCCTCAGTCTGCATTGCTGTGTGAGGGGTCGCCAGGGTATATCAACGCAGCCTGTCACACTCCCTGGACATTGAGATTGATGGTGAGAGCTGCTGTGAGCCCAGGAACAGCACTCACTCAGGAACGGCGCTCACCAGCTGAGCATTAAAAAACAGATTTTGCAGGAGTTCTGAAATGTCTTTAAAGATCATTTTCCCACTCTACCCTGATTAAATGGGGGTCAGATCATCTGACTGGAAGCAGGATTGAAATGTTCTCCAGTACCAGCACATTTTTCCTGAGTGCTGCGTCTCCCTCCCTCTCTGGGCAAGCTAAGCCTGGGTGTTCTGTTAAGCACTAAGGGAAACCTCCAGGGTTTCAGGGTCAGGTTCTTGTAGTGAGCTGAGGAAAGTCAGACACCAAGTGCTACCCGCATTGCCTACGCTCCAGCAGCTTGCTGAATTCATCTCAGGTATGCTCAGAAGAGAAGCAGGGTCTGGAGCCCAAGAGTGGCAAGGAGAGGGGCAAGCCCAGAGCGGGAGCTGGTTCCTGGGGGACTTTGCAGTTAGGACAAGTCAAGAAACCAAAGCCCTGCAAGAGTAGCTTCTGGACACAGGTGGCATGTCACTGCCCAAGGACCATGGGCTGAGTTCATGTGGTTTGGCTGCTGTACTCACTTGTGTCCCCTATGCTCTTCCCCTGGCCAGTCCTGTGGCTATGGCGCCAAAGATGAGGACTACGGCTGCGTCCCCTGCCCAGCAGAGAAGTTTTCCAAAGGAGGCTACCAGATATGCAGGCGCCACAAAGACTGTGAGGGCTTCTTCCGGGCCACTGTGCTGACACCGGGGGACATGGAAAACGACGCTGAGTGTGGCCCTTGTCTCCCTGGGTAAGCACAGGCACTCCTGGCAAACCCTGGGACGCTTTGCAAAAACCCCTTCAGGCAACGGGCAAGGACCTTGGGAACAGGGGGTCATGACACTGTAGGCTTCATTGCAGCCTCACACCTGGCCTTGGTCCTGTTCCACAACAGGCAGCATCCAGGATGGAGAGTCCTGGCCCCTCCGTGGACAGGCAGCCCATCAGGCTCTGCCTCTGTGTCTCCTAAGTGGCCATTAACCAACATAATATGTCTTCTGACCACCAAACTTGCTTGAATACTTACAGCGCAATAACACATGTCAAACACTTTGGAAAAAAGAAATCTAAAATTTCATACAAAGACAGTATTTTTCACATTCTGGGAACACTGTGTGGAAGCTACTAATAAAAACATTTGAGTCACATGATACCCATAATCCCACCAAAATGATTATGCATCAGAAGTCTTCAAAAAACTGAAAATGCAATTAGCCTGAAAGACAGAAAGATAAAACCTTCCTTTTCCCAGGTAGGACACCTCAGTAAGTTCTGCCAGGGACCAGGAAAATAGATTCTCAGAAAACGCTGAGACCCCGCCACGGCTGCTTCCTCCCCCTAGTGGCCACAACACATAATGCTTTGCAAGGGCTACTGGTTCTGCTGGTGCAGGTGGAAGAGGTGACAGCAGTGATGAGGCCAGTGGGGTTGGGGGAGGTGACCACAGCTCAGTGCATAAGACACACTCAGAGTGTTCTAGGAGTTGCAGAAGGACTTCTCACCTGATGGCTGGGGAGGTAGTGTCAGCAGTGGTCTTGGGAGACTTGTGGAGGCAATGCCTGGATGAGTCAGGCTAAGAAGCAGGACAGAGGCCTGCAAGTGGAAATGCTGATGCCACAGCTCAGAGGGCTGAGCAGCTGGACAGTACTTGGGGCTCTGATTGGGTCCCTGTGGCCAGAGCAAGACGTGCACACCTAGGAATATGGACAAGCTGGACAAGAGGACAGGGACCAAATGGAACCAGGCTCTGGAAACCACTGCTGAAGACTTGAGCCTTCAGCTTGAAGCTGATATAGGTCAGCACACAGATTACTGAGCCAGGTAGGACACAGCAGGGTGTCCTCCCAGCAGCAGTGAGGGACATGGCTGAGAAGGGAAAGCCTGGAGCCCTGGGACCAGGGATGTGTTAGGCAGGGAGAGGGCTGGAGCAGAGGCACCGGGGGTGGGGGAGAGGAAGAGTCCACGAGCCCCCTGGTAGACAGCACTGACCAGGGGTGCAGATGGCATGCAGAAGGAGAAGGAGATTCAGAAGAGGACACTCAGGTATCTCTGTGGCTGGCCATGTGGACATGGTGCCAGTTGCTCAGCTGCAGAAGGCAGGATCAAGAGGGTGCTTGGTGGGGAGGTGGAGGGAGAATAGAGGCTGCATGTGTAGAATTTGAGGGGACTGTGGGACATCCAGACCAAGAGAGCTAATCCAGAGATGAGTGGCGAGGCCTGAAGCTCCAGGTGGAGATCCAGGAATAGTAAGTCAGCTATACAGTCAGGGTTCCAGAGCTGCTGGGGCAGAAGGGCTCCCCATGAGGCAGCTTCCTAGTGCGGGGAGAGGGCAAGTGCACCTTGGAGCATCACCAACCTATGCTGCTGGCTCTGGCCTGGCTACAGTTCAGACCCGAGAAGGTGTCCATCAGTTCTCGAAGGCCAGGGCTGACTCTGTGACTTGAAGACAAAGTGCTTGGTTCTGATACATTTACCAGAAAGTGTGTAATTGCTAAAGAAGTTGGATACTGGAACAGTGGTGAGCTCCCTGCCTCTAGAAGGATTCAAGTGAATGTGGACGGCCATCTGCAGAATTAGTGGGCAGACTGCTCTCTGGGCTTTTAAACACTCTTTCCAGTGCTGGAATCTTGATGCCTCCTGCCCTGCTCCATGAGACAATGACCTGTTCAGTCCACACCACCCTCAGCACCCAGGACATAGCAAGGCCCAGCACACCTGCTGGGTAGGCAAGGGACCCTGTGCAGAGACAGCCTCAGCACGTGCCTCAGAGTGCCTTTGCCCTGCTCCACAGGGGTGCAGAGGATGGGGACAGTTTCCAGGTTGACTCTGAGATGTGCTGTGTCTGCTCAAATCATCACTGCCAGTCCCGAGGCCACCAAAATCGAAGGCCCCCTCCTCACCTCCAAATCCCAGCCCTTCTCAGGGGCTCATGCCACCCCCTTTCCTGCAGAAGAGGCTTCCCCAGGGTAGGACCCTGCAGGCCCCACTTCCTCCTGGGAGGCTGTCATGCTGTGTCACAGAGGAGGACCACAGGAGCCTTGGCAGTCTGGCGTGACCAGCTCCGTGAAAGGCTGTGTTCATTCCTGAATCCGAGTGGCTGTCAGGCTGCAGACGCGGACTGCCTCATCCCAGTCTCTCCTGGGCCTCGGCCCCTGCCTGTGGTTTGGCAAGTGCTCCTCCTGACGCTCCGCCCGCCCTGCTGTGTGGCTGAACAATGAGCAGCACCCAAGGCTTTCCTGTTGGGAGAGATTGTGTGGGAGGACCTGGGAACCAAAACAGGAGGAAAGTGAGAGAGAGAGGTTACGCTTCCCCACCTCTCCAGGGCGAGGAGGAGCTTGTTCTGGAGGGCGGGGGCAGGTGGCAAGACACAGCAGCTCTGCACCGGTTCTGTACACCAACACAGTTACAGGAAAATGAACATCTGGGAACCTGCAGCATCCCTTACAGGCATGACAGTCCTGAGGAAAGGAACTCTTTAGGAAAATCTATGCCTATTGACTGAGAGAAAGTCAGTCCCTAAACAACAGACCCCAGGGAACCCATTTAAACTGACTCTTGTCCTGGGCTATACACCTTCATCAACCCATGTAGAACAGGGGCCAGGAGAACTAGGGAGAAAGCCAAATATAGATCAAAGAGTAGTAGGAAGTTAGACCCTTCCAGAAAGACGAAGGGATTGGATGCTCTGTAGCTGGGCCAGGGATCCCTAAATGAACACCTGACATCGGGTTGATGACAAGCCCAGGCAGAAGAAGACAAGTGCATATTCTTCGTTGCTGCACAGCCGAGGATGAGAGACCTTGGTGTAAGCCACACCGTGAGGAATTTAGGCTAGTCCTAAAGAGAGATCCTAACATTTAGAAATGTTGCATGCAGCAGTATGTGCTAGAAAACAGTGGCTTCTCCTTGTCAGGAGGCACTGAACACTCACCAAGTGAGGAAGGACAATTTCATAACAGCCTCTTGGAGTCAATGTGCTTTTAAAAGTTTATCACTGGCCAGGTGCGGTGGCTTACACTATAATCCCAGCACTTTGGGAGGCTGAGGTGGGTGGATCACTTGAGGTCAGGACCAGCCTGGACAACTGGTGAAACCCCAGGTTCAAGACCAGTCTGGACAACTGGTGAAACCCCATCTCTACTAAAAATACAAAAGCTAGCCAAGCATTGTGGTGCATGCCTGTAATCACAGCTACTCAGGAGGCTGAGGCAGGAGAATTGCTTGAACCTAGGAGGTGGAGGTTGCAGTGAGCCAAGATCGCACCACTGTACTCCAGCTTGGGCAACAGAGAGAGAATCCGTCTCAAAAAAAAAAAAAAAAAAAAGTTTATCACCTTTCGATATTCCCTCATTGATAGGTTGCATAGCTTGACCCCGCAGATGAGGGTGGCCAGCCTGTGACAGAAGGTGCCTGGGTGCCCAGGACAAGCCAAAGACGCAGCCATAGGACAGAGCCAAGCTCAGAATGTAGTGGCCCCAGTGGGAACACATTGTAAAGCCTGGGTGTTCCACACCAACCATGTGGCCTTGGAGCTTCACCCATGACAAACACCAAGCCCAGCACCTGGGGTGTGAACCAGGATGGGCAGAGAGGCCTTCTGGGTCCTCTTCACCTAAGCGTCAAACTTCCATGGAGAAGAAGTTGGTCTCAGTCATTCATTCAGCCAGTGTTTACAGAGACGCATCCTCCCTCAGTACCTAGCACAAGGTCCAAGGAATACAGATGTCAGCAAGGCTTGCCTGGGAGGGCTTCCCAGTGCAGGAGCCAATCCCCCTAGGCAGGAGACAGAATTCGTGGAGGTGTAGTGAGAAAAGGAGGAGGTGGTGAGGGACGGAGGAGGTGAGGCATGGAGGAGGCTAGATGGGGAGCAGGAGGGGAGGAGGAGGCTCCTAGGAGCCTGAGCTATTTCTCAGAACTATCAGTGTGGGCCTGGGTCGCTATAAAGCTGCAGGTGGACGTGGTCCGGCCCACATGCCTGTGAGCTTATAAGGCCACGTGGCAGACACGAGCCTTGGCCTGACTCATGGAGAGAGGTGGCTTCTGGAAGGGCAAAAGGCAGCTTTGCAAGAGGCTTAGCTGTAAAATTTGTTGTCACGGCTTCTCTGGGGGGGTGTTCTGAGATTGGATAATTAATGTTTACAAGATACACAGGGATCTGAGGATAAAGGGCTTTGAGGGAGGGCAGGCAATTATGGTCCTAATGTTACTGGGAATGGTCCAGGCTCAGGAAGGCAGGAGCCCACAGACCCCCACCAGGGCTGCTGTTTAGCAATGCCATCAGCAGGGCCTCTGTGGGGCTTGGCTAATACAAAGAGATTAGAAAACAGCCATGGAAACATCCCTTCTTATCCCAGCTCTTGAATCACAATAGGGAAAGCGTTGGCATCGCTCACATTATTTAATCGACTTCTCAAAGTGTGACAAATGGCTCCATGCTCTCCGCTGAGCATTTGTTTATGGAAAATGGGTCTGGGCTAGGGTAGGATCCAGAGCTGCCAAGGGAAGGCACCCAAGCTGGGAGCCCCAAGGAAAGGGTGGTGTCAGCAGGGGCTGTGCCTGGAAGTGGGGCAGCTGCAGGGAGCACAGCCACAGGGCCGACCCCTGAGAGCAGGGCTAGAGCAGTCACACAGCCATTGGGCTGGCACCGTGACATCAGGGAGCAGAAAAAGAATGGAACACCACTGGGAGCTGAAGGACTTCACACGGAGCTACTGTGAATGATTTGTCCCTTGTGCCGTGTGTGCAACCCTGCCATAAAGGCTTGCACTTCCAAGAGTGTCTTCCATCGAGTGCTTCCTGAGGAGGAGGCACTTATAACCCAGTTGTGTTGCCCGCTGCCATGAGGGCCACCTGCCTTGACCTCGCTGGACAGCATAACTGTCTGTCTCCTGCAGCTGCACTCTGGTGGCAGCTCCACTTGGTGGCATTCAGCAGCGGTGCAGATGGCCTGGAAGTTCCAAGCGTCCCAGAGACACACTGACGCCTATGATCCCTCCAGGCTGCAGGTTCTGGGGAGGGTGCTCACAGAGGGTGTGTTTCTCCTCCACAAGGGCCTGGTAAGACCCCCTGGGGAGTTAAGCAGGGCCTACGTGTGGGGCACATGGGTATTTCTGGTGGTTAACAGTGACGGCACACACACTAAACACAGCTACCAGAAAGAAGACCCAGAAAGGAGCTTAGATTAAAAGAAAGGCCCATGCTGGAGGCTCATTATTTTTAAAAAGAATGCTTCATTTCAAGACAGCCTGCAATCCCAAGGAAACTGGACAGAGCAGGCGGCTGGCTGGGCGTGGCCTCATGCCCCACTTGGACTGTGGGCCTGCAGCATGGCTGCTGTGCTCTCTGCACCAGTCCCTGCCTGTGTGCTGTCCACTCACCTGCCTCTGTTTTGTCTTGTCTCGCCCCCGTAGCTACTACATGCTGGAGAACAGACCCAGGAACATCTACGGCATGGTCTGCTACTCCTGCCTCCTGGCGCCCCCCAACACCAAGGAATGTGAGTGTCTTTGTCCTTCCACCAGCACAGTATTTGTTCAGCACAGATCTCTTTCACTATGGGGGGTGTAGGAAGGAGCCGATCCCGGCACCTGGACAAGGTGAATCACAGTAACAGCATAAGTGGAAATGCCCTGTGGCTTGTCCAGGCAGGTCTATGAAGCGAGGGAGGTTTGCCAGAGCTGAGCCTTAAGTTCTAGTGCAGGTCAACCACCAGCTACCTGACGAGTCACTTAACCTCCATGAGCCTCAGTTTTCTCATCTGTAATATGGGGGGTACTGACATCTGACCTACCCATCTCACATGGTTATTGTGAAAATCAACGGGATGTTAGAGTACTATTTTGCAAAGTGCTGCAAGGTGCTAGGTGATAGTGAGACCAAGGAAAATATGGTGTGATCACAATTAATGAAACAGATTCCGCAAAGCACAGGTAAACAGTCTCACGAGTTTGTAATCCCACCTTGGGCTGTTTCTTTCCTGTTCCCCTTTCAGTCTGGCTTTCGTGGACATCTGTTTATGAGGAAGGGCCAAGTACCTCTTCCTCGGGAACGTGCTGTGTGGACTCTTGGATGTGTGGTCTGGGGAGAGACGAAGGCAGCTGGGAGGAAGCTGGGCGCCTGGTCCCCGGGCTGCAGGAGCACTTGCCACCCTCCGGCTCCTTTAAGCGTGGAGGAGGAGCTGACCCTTGGACCCTGCCTCTCTTTGCTCTCCATAAGGCTCCACCTACCCCCATGTCTCATAATAATGTTGTCCAGGAGAAGGAGGGCCTGCATCTAACCATGCTGGGAGGAAGGGGAGGAGCAGGTATGGGGAGCAGCATCTCCTCTCTCCTTCTGCTCAAGCCCAGAGGAGAGTTCTGTGCTGTGGGCTGCGCTGCAGGGAGAGCCATTCCCTCCCTTCCAAATCACTCAAGTGCATGACCCCTGCACCAGTGGGTTTGCTCATCTCCAGAGCCATTTTCCTGGCCAGCCATATGCTAATTAATTCACAAATTTGAGGAGGCTGCTGCTTGGCTGCCAGCCTGTCCCATGTGAAGCCAACTGCCGTGGCCCACATGTCCTCTGTGGGGATCTAGGCTGATTCAAGGCCAGATCATTCTGGGATGAAGAACCAGTCTGAGAAAATGTCAGACACTCCCCACCTATTCAGAAAACCATCTTTGCCTGTGAAGCTGGGAGAGGAGCAGCCCTCCTCAGGAGCTCTTCTGGTAGGGAGCTCTCACGCGGCACAGCTTTCAACGTGCAATGTCTGGCAGCCAGAACAGACTCGAGTAAAGGCAGGGGTACCTCTCCAAGTCCAGCAAGGAGGTTTATCACATGTGGAAAGCAAGCAAAGTCCCCTGAGTCCTGAAGATTTTTTTTTTTTTTTTTTTGAGAAGGAGTCTTGCTCTGTCACCAAGCTGGAGTACAGTGGCCTGATCTTGTCTCACTGCAACCTCTGCCTCCCAGGTTCAAGAGTTCTCCTGCCTCAGCCTCCCGAGTAGGTGGGACTACAGGCGTGCACCACCACACCCAGCTAATTTTTGTATTTCGACTAGAGATGGGGTTTCACCATGTTGGCCAGGATGGTCTTGATCTCTTGACCTCGTGATCCACCCTCCTTAGCCTCCCAAAGTGGTGGGATTACAGGCGTGAGCCACCTTGCCCAGCCAAGTCCTGGAGATGTTAAAAATGAGTGCATCCCACTCCCACCTCCAGCTCCCAGGAAGGCCTTGAGGTAAGGCCTTAGAATCCAACTCTGAAGGAGGTCAGCAGAGAAATGGACAGTCCTGCTGTGCTCTCATTACAGGCTCCTTTGGCAAGGCCCCAGCCTTAGAAGATTTGGCTTGCCCATCTGGGAAATGGGGAGATACAGCCAGCTAGGCCTTGGGGTGAATAGCGACCTGCCCGGGTCGGGGCCTCAGTGTGACTGCCAGAGTGATGATCTCCACCCCTAGGCCTGCACTGGTTCCAATCCAGAGATCTTTTTACCCAGGGCACCTGATCAGCAGTCAGCAGAAATGTCAGAGGGAGAAAGCCCCTGTGGAGTCACTGAGACCCACACACACAGGACTGCCACTGGCAACCCCTCTCCAGACAGCCAGGGATTTAGGAAACATTTCGTCAGGATCCTGAAGTTGCCAACTGGTTGCCCAGGTCCAGCAGGCCCTGTCTTCCTCAAACCCGTGGTCATGGTCAAGTGCACCTCTTCCTCCCCGTGTTTTGCTTGATTTACCTGGGCCCTTGCCAAACGAAGTCACATCCTTGGACTCTGCAGCAGCAAATGGTGGACTATGCAAACCACAGTCAGACTTGCCGAGGGCCCCTGGCCGAGGATGACACACACCTAGGAGAGCTGCAGCAGGCCACGGGGAGCAGCTGCAGGGGGGTCACCAGCCAGGAGTGAGTCCAGGTCAGTGCCAGGGCTTCCCTAGCCTAGGAGCAGGGCTGGGTGCCCACAGCTCTCCCACAAACTCCAGGGCTCGAATCCCATGCTCAGGCACCTGTGCAGCACAATCACCTCCTATCCTTAAAGAGTTGGTGGCTTCTCTGCGCACTCTGGAGCAGAGGGTTGCAGGGTGGTGATTCTCAGCGGATCGCCCTGGGGATTTTTTACTTGAATTGCTGGGCCCACCCTCCGATTCATCAGGTCTGGATGGGCCAGAGAATGTACATTTTAAAGAAATCTGGGAACCACTAGGGTGGGTTACGAGCCTGTTCTGGAACCTCACTGCCTGAATTAGATGAGTCATCTCACCTCCCAGAGCCTCTGGGTCCTCTCCTGCCCAGGCCAGCTCCCAGTGGTGCCCACTGCCCAGGCTGCTGTGTGGCTCGGGCGCAATTTTGCCCACCAAATCTACCTGGAAGCACATCGTGAGTGCCACAGAGTGTTAATTAATGTGAGGCAGCCCCTCAAATAACCCTGAGGAGAAATGAAAAAGTAACACATACTTTTCTTTAAAATGGAATAAAATCATTCTGGTTTCTGGGGTTGCCAAGTAACTAGAGGGAAACTGAAGAGGACAGGTGTGAGACTGCAGATCAGTCCTGCCTGTGGGTTGCTTGTCACCTTGGATTAGAACGTACTCACCCCCAGCTCTGAGCCTGTACTCAGTGACTGCAATACCATGGAGCCCTGTGGCCCAGTGAAGAGATGAAAAGGCCTTTGGTTATTTCTCAGTTAAATTAAAGAGCAGGATGCACTTGGGCGACCAGAGCTTTCTGGTTTTTTTACTCCTGCACCGTCCTGTGTAAAGGGATCTGTGAGGTATGACAGTGGGGGCAGGGAAGTCAACTCGTTGGCCTCGCCCTCGCGTAATAAAGAGGAAGATAGGGTCCAGCATCAGGCTTGGGTTTCATTATAGGTTATCACTCCTGAAAGGTTTTCTCATCTGCAAAATGGGGACATGATTGTTAGGAGGATAGATGCGATGACGTGGGCAATGCATGTGGAGTGCCCACTCTAGTGCCAGGCACCGGGCACTGACCAGACGTGAGGTATCCCAGCCCAGCAGAGGTCATGGCTCCGCAGCACATGAGCTGGCCTGCACTTCCATCACTGACCAGAGGTGCAGACCGCACACAGAAGGGGAAAGAGATTCAGAAGAGGACGCTCAGGTGTCTCTGTGGCTGGCCATGTGGACATGGTACCACTTGCTCAGTTGCAGAAGGCAGGAGCAAGAGGGTGCTTGGTGGGGAAGTGGAGGGAAGATAGAGGTTATGTGTATGGAATTTTAGGGGACTGTGGGACATCCAGACAAAGATAGCTAACCCAGAGATGGCCTGAAGCTCCAGGCAGAGATCCAGGACTGGAAAGTCAGCTATGAACTCAGAGTGCGGAAGCCACTGGGGTAGAAGGGCTCCCCATGAGGCAGCTTTCTAGTGTGGGGAGAGGGTGAGTGCACCACAGTGCCTTGCCGACCTACATTGCTGGCTCTGGCCCACTACAGTTCAGACCCAAGAAGGCACCCCAGAGCCTGGGACACTGGGCAGCAGAAATTGCTCCCTAGAAAGAGTGGTCAGAGGCTTAATGAAAGGACGCAATAGCCTGGCAGTTGTTTTCTTATCGTCAGTGATGAAGGCCCCTGAGGCAAGTCCAGAGCAGGCTGGCCTTGTGGAGAAGTCTCTTCTACTCTGCCTGCTCCCATGGTTTCAGTCTCCCGTGCCTGGATGCCCTTCTGTGATGCTAAACAGCAAGTGCTGCCCCTCAGGTGTGAAGCTGGCTTCCGGGCCTCCCAGACACCAGTGTCCAGCTGCTCCTGGCACAGAGCCTCTCAGACCTGACTGCACACACATCTCCAGGGACCTGCTGAGCAACAGATTCTGACACAGCAGGTCCCGGTGGGCCTGAGACTCAGCATTTCTAGCAAGCTCCCAGGGGACCCCACTTTGAGCAGCTAGGGAGGCTCTGCTGAGTCTGCCCACAGTTCAGAATTGGCCACTAGGAGGTACACGGCAGTGCCACAGTCTGGGACCCCTTGTTGACAGCTCTAAGAATCAATAAACAGATCATACCTAAAAATCCAATCTCTTTATACCCTTTGCAGAGAATCCCGGCCAGCCTCTAATGCATACCAGTGAGTTTCTAAATTGTGTGGATTAACAGACCAATGAGCTATCATGGCTGTGAATGGAGGCGTAGCTCCCTCTAGCCATGGGCTTCTGGTTCACTGAGTCTTCCTGGGGAAGGGGAGCACAGTGGCCAGCAGGACCCTCCCGCTGCCTGCTTCTGAGTCACCACTGCCTCAAACTCCACAGCGAGCTAGGCAGAAGCAGCCCCCGCTCACTTTCACTTTAATATAGGCCTTGTCTGGACATTTCTGTCTGTTTTCTGGGACTGCAGTTCACGCCAGCTTTTATCAAGCACTCCAGCCTTGCTTATTCAAACCCCGGGTGCACACGGAAGTGCGCAAGGGGAGCTGGACCTGCAGCTGGCCACCCAACAGAAACACACCTGGAGCATCTTCCACTTAACGAGCCATCCCAAGATGCACACAGTGGAATGGGGGGAAACCTCCAGGCACTGTATTTTTGGTTAGCACTGAGTTAACCCTCAGTAGAAAGGCATAGACCCTGGCCCGGGAGAATCTGCCCGCAGGCATGGGGGCACCCATGCCTGTCCTGGGGACTGCACAAGGGCTGCATCTCGCCCCACCCTGCCCAGCCCCACCCACCACCCTGCGGGGCCTGAGGGTTTGTCTGCGGACCTCCAGCTGGTGACAGCAGAAGGAGTGGACATGATGGGAATGGGATCAGCCCAGGCCTCTCTCTTATCCTCTTCATATGCTGGGTTTTTCCCAAAGATCTTTTATACATCACATGGGTTCAACATGATGCTGATGTGCTATTAATATTAAAATCCATACTTATATGATTCTGGGGTGGATTTTTTTCAAGCATTTAGGGGTAATGCAGAGTAGGTGTCTATTTCCCATGGCGATTTTTCTGACTCGCCTGAAAAACAGCAGAACTACCCAGGGCTGATCACCTAGCCCCTGCTTCAGGCCCTGCAGGTGCCTTCGTTAGCCACCCTCAAGCCACACCCAGTGCTGCCCAAGGTTGGCACTTTGGGACCAGATCTGCCCACCTCCTCTTGTGGCTTATATGTGTAGTGACAGTGGCAGCAACCAGAGGTGAGAGACTTGTGCAGGGGGCTGACCTCACCTCACAAGGTCAGCCCTGCAGCCAGGGGCAGCAAGGCCCACCACCTCCCTCTTGGTCCCCTCTGGTCTTGCCACACCTTCTCTCTTGCCTGGGGGCAGAGGCACTGAATTGTGGACAAAACAGACCAAGTAAGCTAGATGTTGGTTTTTCTTTCAATTGACACATAATAATTGCACATGTTTATGGGGTAAGAGTGAAATTTCTATACAATATACAAAGTGTCATGATCTGGTCAGGGTAATTATGATATCCGTGACCTCAAACACTTATCCCTTTGTGTTGGGAACATTCCAGATCCTCTCTTGTAGCTGTGAGAAAGATACAACGCGTTATTGTCAGCTGTAGTCACCCTGCAGAGTGCAGAGCACAGACCGACTGCTCCTGCCCAGCTACACTTTCGTACTCATTAACCAGCTTCCCCTTCCCCACTCCTGTGCTGCTCCTACTTCTATGAGATCCACTCCTTTGGCTTCCGCACATGAGCAACGTGTGGCTTTTGTAATACAGCTGTGCCTGGGGCAGATCTGTTCCTTTTCTGCCACAAGCACACCCCTTCGCCTGTTGGCCACGAGGCTGCCACTCTGGAAATTCTCATGCACCCTTGCCTTTATTTGTGATTTGCAGCAAGGGCAGCTCCATTTCTTGTTGCTGAACTCTGAGCACAGGGAAGAGCCCCATTGTCAGGAAGTGAGCTGCTGCCCTTTGGTGGCCTGGATGGCTTGTGGGCAAGTCTGAAATCTGCATGTCCTCCTCCTCCTTCGGCAACAATCTAGCAACCAGGATTCTCCTGCCCAGTCTCATGGGAAGTGTCTCCCTGCCGATGCTCTGGTGGCCCTGGGAACTTTGGAAACTGAGGGGGCTTGTAGGGTCTGGCTGATTGGATGCCGGTTTTCAGCTCCAGTCCTGACATGAGAGGCTGAGCTCTGGAGACATGTCAGGGTCCACCATCCCACCCACCCTGCCCCCACCTCCTCAGCTGCACACACGTGTTCAGGACAAGCAATTCTCTGACCAACTCAGGGATCCCTGCACATCAGGGAACACCCAGCCTACACCTGCAGCCTGCCACAGTCAGAGACAGTTTGGCTGGTGCCAGATGGAGGTGTTTGGAAGAGAACGTCCAGTGATTAGGATTGGGGCACAGCCGGCTGAGGACAGGTGGGGACCTGTGGGTGCAGGAAGACGTCACTGATGTGCTCTCGTCTGCAGGCATTGTTTGGGGACATCATTGCGTCACCAGGCACAATGCTGCAGAGGCATTCCACAAGTCTGTGTGCCCGCTAGGCTGCGTTTATCATCCCACTCTAGACCACAGGCCTGGGCGTATCTGTGTCCCCATCCCCAACCCCATCACCTGAAGCAGCCTGCAAGCCCCGGCAGGAAGGGAAAAGAAGTGACAAAGATGGCAAACATCCACAGACAGCCCACAGCTGTTCTTTTGCTCTGACAGTGTATCTTAAGCTCCCTTTAGCGTCTCACTGAACAGCTAGATCAGCTTCTTTTCAATGTCTTGTTTGCTCTTATAAAGGAAATGAGGTCATGCTGGAAACGACGCCATGATGCCCCTATGCTCACTCACCTCATGCATTGTGGAAGGCTACCTCCCAGCAAACATAAACAGGCACACAATCTGAAGTCCCCTTATCACGCTGGAGACTTCCAGAGCAAATTCAGAAAGGTCTGAGAGGGGGAACACTGTTGTTTGATGTGGTCTTGTGGCTTTCAGCCAGGAGCACGCACCTCTCCACCAGCAATTTTTTTTTTTTTTTTTGAGACAGAGTTTCGCTCTTGTTGCCCAGGCTGAGTGCAGTGGTGCCATCTCAGCTACTGCAACCTCTGCCTCCTGGTTTCCAGCGGTTCTCCTGCCTGAGCCTCCTGAGTAGCTGGGATTGTAAGCACCTACCACCGTGCCCAACTAATTTTTGTATTTTTAGTAGAGACGGGGTTTCAACATGTTAGCCAGGCTGGTCTCAAACTCCTGACTTCAAGTGATTTTATCCCCTTGGTCTCCCAAAGTGCTGGGATTACAGGCGTGAGCCACCGTGCCCGGCCAGCTCTTTCCCTAATAAGAACACTGGTTCTGAAGCCAAGTAAGTGGTTAAATTAAGAAAACGAAGAATTTATCATAAGTTTGAGGCCAAGGAGGAAAAATGGCTTCCGTTCATCATCCAGAAACATAAGGAAACATCACTTGCCCCTCTGTGGGCAGGTGACGTTTCTCACATACCCTGTGACAGTCCCAGGCACTCTCAGCTGCTGGGGTCCCTCCCAAGCCCAGTGTTTCATTGGCCGAGCTACCAATTTGCTTTACAAGGTGTGAGGACCGACTAGCATCCAGCCCATTGTCCTGTGGCCCCGTTCCACTTACGGACAGGAGTGGATAGCTCCGCTGGTCACTAGCTCCTGAGCTGCCTGCCTCCACTCAGAGAACAAGAGTGTGCATTTCTCCTGAGAACTGACTACTAAAGAAAACAGCCAGCCCAAGCATCATGGTCCACATGTGTTATCCTAGCACTTTGAGAGGCCCAGGCAGGTGGATCACTTGAGGTCAGGAGTTCAAGACCAGCCTGGCCAACATGTTGAAACCCCATGTATTTTTCTCTACTAAAATGTATTTTTAGCAGAGAATGTGTATTTTTCTCTACTAAAAATACAAAACCTAGCCAGGTATAGTGGCACACACATGTATTCCCAGCCTCTCAGGAGGCTGAGGTGGGAGGATCACTGGAGCCCAGGAAGCAGAAGTTGCAGTGAGCTGAGATCATGCCACTGCACTGCAGCCTGGGTGACAGAGTGAGACCCTGTCTCAAAAACAAAACAAAACCTAAAAAAAAAACACCCAACTAGGAAGCTTGCTTCTCCCGGAAGCCTTGCTGCATGGGCTGACCAGGCACAGTGCTAAGCCATTCCTCTGGGCTGGGCCAGGCTGGGGAGGTGCCTTGATTTGGGGGAGACAGCTGGCCTTGTCCTTGACTCAGGGGTTGCTTTTCTGTAGACCAAATGCACTTCCCAGATTTCTCCAAAACTGCTACTCCGCCTGCTAGAGACAAAAGCAAGAGACTGGGAGACACATTTGAAACAAGTTGGTTTTATTATTTGCAAAACTGAAGTCTGGCCTAAAAGAAGGTTGACCTTCTTTCGGGAGGTCTGGAACAGGACGTGGTCTGTTCTGCGGTGGAAAGTTTTGTTTTTGCTGAATGGTTGTTTTAGTGATTTGACTGAAAGCGAAATCAGCTTCCATTTTATCCCTGCTAAGCGATGCTTTTTCTGTAGAAGGGGAGTTTTAGGAAGCACGGCTTTAAGGGAAGGTTTGCCTCGCTGTTGAACAGTTTGGTCACAACTGTGTAAAAATGTCTTAGGAAAATCCTGGAGAGAAATAGCAAAAGTCAACTTCAAGGAGCTCATGGGTAGTTCTCTTCCTCCTTTCTCATATTCTTATTTTTCAAGATTTTTATTTTTATTTTATTTTCACTTTTTTGAGATGGAGTTTCTCTATTGTTGCCCAGGCTAGAGTGTAAAGGCATAATCTTGGCTCACTGCAACCTCTGCCTCCTGGGTTTAAGCGATTCTCCTGCCTCATCCTCCTAAGTAGCGGGCATTACAGCCTAGCCATGCCAGGCTAATTTGTGTATTTTTAGTAGAGACACAGTTTCACCACAGTTGGCCAGGCTAGTTTCGAACTCCTGACCTCAAGTGATCCACCCACCCTGGCCTCTCAAAGTTCTGGGATTACAGGCGTGGGGTGTATATATTGCTTTTACGACCAGAAAAAGTATTCCTACATGCCTACTCTATGTAATTGAAGGAATTAGTCAAGTACTGTGTCGCCCTAATAGTACTTCCATATACACATTCTATGTTCCTTATTTTTATGGGCTTCATATACTGTGTCTCCAAGCATAGGAAAATTGAGTTGGTGAGGCTTGCAAAACTCCCCAACTATCAGTTGTTTAATTTTAACGGTTATCACATGAGTGCTTTTATTTAAAGAACAATAACCATGACTCTTCAGGGCTCATTAAACACTCTAAGAAATACAACTACTTATCTCCCCTTGGCCCTCACTGCCTCAAGCCCATTCAAGATCATGAATCCAGATCCACGAGCTCTGTGGCAGCATCTTTGAAGGTGTCACTTCTCTAGATCATTTGAGGGACTCTGTTTTCCTTGCAGGTGTGGGAGCCACTTCAGGAGCTTCTGCCAACTTCCCTGGCACCTCGAGCAGCAGCACGCTGTCTCCCTTCCAGCATGCCCATAAAGGTAAGGAGGTTGCTCAGGTATCGATCACCTGGAGTTAAGTGGTACTCGGAAGAACGCTCAGAGGAAGAGAGGAAATGATTATGAGTAATGATTATGGTGTGCTTCCCCACCTGGCCTCACGTCCCTAATGTGATTGAATGACATGGTGCCTCCCCTACCCCCCATGCAGGAAGTAATTATCTCTGCAAGGAGCGGAGTTGATCCCTCCATGGGTGTCCTGAGCCAGTTGGGAGGTGCTGGTGATGAAGGTAGGGGCAGGGGGCAGAGCAGCAGGTGGGCAGCTCAAGCAGCTGCGAGCCTGGCCAGGAGGAGAGACCAGGCATCCTGGGCTTTGGTTTGGCCGGGAGTCAACAGCAATTCTATCACCAGCTTTTATATAAACCTGCTGCCTATAGCACTTTAATATTCACTTGCAGCAAGTGAATATTTCATTCTCCCTAACCCCTCAGGGAAGAAGGGATTGAGGAAGACCCCAAAGTTCAATATGTCTCTCAGAGTCAGCCCTCCAGCTGGCTTGGCCTTTCCCTCTCACTGGTTTAGTGCCAGCCTATTATTGAAGCATATTTTGGGTCCAGGTCTCAGTGAGCCATGAGGTACCTACCAGAGCCCTCAGAGGGCCCAGCTCATCAGCCTCATCATTGGTTCTCCCACACACTAAGGCCGAGCAAAAGAAGACTGCTGGGCAAGGATATATGAATCTCATTTGCACAGGCCCTGGGGGAGTCGCTCACAACACCGAGAATATTAAAACACTTATGTCATCCAGACCTGGCATGCAAACACTGTTACAGGTACTCCCCAGATGACGCTGGGAGGCTGGTTTTCCTACAAGTGCACCCACAGGAGATTCAGTGCCCACAGGCGGGGTCCTCAGCTCTGGCGCCACCACCCCCCAAGATGATCCAGGAGCTTCAGATGCTTGTCTCCTGTCTATTTGGTGGTGGCAAATCTGGATCTTACTTCAAGATAATCCAAGTCCTGATTGGTTATTTTAGAGAGTGAGAATGAGCCTCAGGGCATTTTATTAATCCAAGGTCCACATTAACCAGGGAAGTGAGCAAAATCCCCTGGGGTGACTGAGGAGCAAAATCCCCCAGGGTGACTGCCTGGCGGAGGTGGTGGAATAAGTGGAGTAGGTGGCTTGTGCCCTGGGGATCTTATGATGACACTTAGGTTGAAATTGCATGAGGTGCAAGATGGTGCCAAACCTGGAATCCAGAGCTGTCTTTTGTTTGGAAATGTCCAAACTTGAATCGTGCTGCCTTCCAGACACTCTTGTTCACTGGCCTTTCTTCCTCTCCACATCAAACCCTGACCTCAGGTTCCCAAAGTAGTAGAAGCAAGAGCAAGCTCCCTAGGAACAGCCAAGGGACCCCAGACCATGATGTTCCCAGAGACGTCAGGAGAGGCCAGTCTGAGGGCAGCGAGCAGGGCTTGGGCAGTCCTGGTCTGGCAGCCAAAGCTAATGTGGAGGATTTGTTTCTCAGACTAAGCAAGCACTTCAGATTCCAGGGTTCCCTGAAAGCATCCAGGGGCAGGGCCATTGCTTCCAGGGGCCATAGTCCTGGAGGAAAGTCCAGCAGGGATCTTGAGCTCTGGGTCATTCATACCTTCCCTCCACCAGCAGAGCTCTCAGGCCAAGGACACCTGGCCACTGCCCTGATCATTGCGATGTCCACCATCTTCATCATGGCGATCGCCATCGTCCTCATCATCATGTTCTACATCCTGAAGACAAAGCCCTCTGCCCCAGGTGACGGCCCCCACGCGACGGTGCCCTGCCTCCTGGACTCTCCGTCAACTCCCCCTGTCGGAGAGCCTGCCTGCTCACTCCCTCCTCTCTCCCCAGCCTGCTGCACCAGCCACCCAGGGAAGAGTGTGGAGGCCCCAGTGAGCAAGGATGAGGAGAAGAAAGAGGCCCCAGGTCTGTGAACCAAGGCTTCCACACCCCACGTGCACAGTGCCCTTCTCTGGGTAGAAGGAGTCCCTGGCAGTGGCCTCCTTACTGCTTCTGCTCTTGCATGTTGAACCATGCTGTGCCTACCCTGGGGTGGTGCCATGCAGACAGCAGGCAGCTCTGCCCAATAGGAAGCTCAGAGCAGGGTCGGGCTGAGCACCGAGCCATAAGCCGATTCTAACTCCTGTCTCCCCAACCTCCCCATTTCCCTACAGACAATGTGGTGATGTTCTCTGAGAAGGATGAATTTGAGAAGTTGACAGCAACTCCAGCAAAGCCCACCAAGAGGTATGTGGAAGCCCCCCACCGCCAGGCTGAAGCTGGGGTCCTGTGGCCCCTGAGCAGGAAGGGGAGCCAGAGTGCAGCCTTACTGCTTCTGCTCTTGCATGTTGAACCATGCTGTGCCTACCCTGAGGCACACCCACTGACAGGCTGGCCTGGGATGCCATGGGGACACTTGGCGACATATAGTCCCTGCCACCTCCTTGCTGACCAGTAGGGGTCAGGTGCTATGAGAGATCGTGGGAATGGCTGCCTATTGCTCTCGGGTCAGGCCCTTGCCCCTGCATCTTGACAAATTCCTTGGGCCTTCCTTCTTAACATCCAACTTCCATATGCCCCTTCTCCAGATTGGGAGGGCAGAACATAAAGCCAAGGATGCATGCAGCAGCCCCTGTGACTGCTGCTGCAGCCAACACACTGGTACCACTAGTGCCAGTGCCAGGACTGCTGCCACTGTAATGCTGGTAACAACTATGGCGATGATGGTTAATAGCTTTGGTGCCTACTGCCCACCAGGCGCTGAGCTAGGGCTATGAGCACACCCTCCCCCACAGCCCAGGAGCAAGGTGCTCATATCATCCCTGTCTATAGGATACCACACTGAGGTGTGGAAGTCCCAAGGTCACACACTAGTGAGAGGCAGGGCAGAGGTCCGAGTCCAGGCTCCAGAGGAGCCATGTGGCATAAAGAGGCCTCTGGAGGGGGAGATTTGGCAGGTGAAGCCTTTCCCACATTTACCACACATCAAGGTGTGGAACCAGCCCCTGCTCTAAAATCGAGAGCAGAAGGAAGTAAATCTTTTATTCATCCAGTGGGATGGTTATTTGGACTTGGTCCTGCATAGCTTCCAAAAATCAACTCCACAGCATCAGCTCCCAGCAAGGCAATGTGCCTGGACCCCCGTGCCAGGCCTCATCCCCATGGCCACTACAGGCTTCACTGGAAGGACACCCACACAGCAGTGCCTCCCTTGGCAGATGGGGCACAGAGCCACCAGAAGATCATCAAACTGATTACAGGAAGAGCAGAGGTTAAGCCCTCCTCTCCTGCCCCCACCCTATGATCTTCCTGCAATTCACCAAAGCCATTCCTGTCGAGGAATAATAATTGATCCAGCATCTGTGTGGAGCTTTGGCATTCAAAAAGTATTGCCAGGTGCATTATCTCACATGGAAAACTCCAGTGTCTCTCAACGCTGACACAAGGGCAGGAGGCAAACAAATAAGGAGTCTCTGAATACTAGGAAAGAAAAGTGGAGTGTGTGTTGGGGTGGTTAATTCCTGCAAGTGCCTCAATTCCAGTTGAACCCCTGCAGGAATCTGTGGTCTAAGCCCCATCGTGCATGACTGGTGGGAGGTGCCAGATCCGAGCTGCTGACGATCCTAGGACCAAGGGCAGGACCTGGTCATCTTGCATGGATGTAACTCTGAAATAGGACCTCCCTAGAGACTGAATTTGCTCCTCAGCCTCCAGCCCAGCCTTATCTCATTCCGTCTCAGCCTCTCCCTTCTGATATTCAGGCTGTTCTTATCCCCAGAAATCAAAAGGCCAGAGACATGCCCCATGACTTTAGTTTCAGTTGAAGACAGGGAAACCTCAGGGGCCCTACTAAGAAAAAACATATACTTATTTCACACACAAATTGAACTAAATACAAATTGAACCCTGACAATTGGATGTTAAAAGACAGCAAGACGGTGAGCTCTTGTTCCTCCATTTTTGTCCTTGGGTCTTGGAGACAGGATGTGGGTGCCAGGGATGGGGGGGGACAGGGATGGGCCCTACCACCTCTTTGGGAGGCCCTGGAGCCTGATGAGGAAGTGGGTCCCCCCAGGACTTCATCATGTTCTCATTTTCTCTAGGGTTGGGTTTGCATATGGGCTTCATTGCTGTAACCTAGTTTTAATCTTTTTTTTAAGAAAAAAGAAGTCTTCAGCCAAACCACAGGAAACAAGTGGGATGCCTCTAAAAAAGAACATTGTTTTTCATATACTTGGAATGGTTTTAAGAGAGTTTAAGCTCCAACCCACATGTGCCTAGGGCCGTGAGCCATGGGGTGGCATGATCCCAGGCTTGGTGCATCCGACCGCCCACCCAGTCACCCGCTGGGGCTTGCTGTGCCACCCCCTGCAATGCACACAGGTCAGCCAGGTCACCCCACTAGTCAAGAGGGGGCTTTCCAGGCACAAGGCTCCATTCAGTTCCCTTTTCAGTGACTCTAGAGAGCCAGCATGGATTCAGTGCCAGTCACATAAACCTATTTGCTTAACATGAAGACAACAGTTGAACTTGATCCTTATTGGGATTAAATACAGGGATCTAGGACATATTCAATGAACCTTCACAGAGCATCCACCGCATGTTAGACAGCAGGAAAGGAGCGGCTCTTGGATGCTTTCCACCTTCAGTGGCAGCCCCAGTCCCTTAGACACCTGCAGGTCACCCACCACGGACTTGTTTGTTTGGAGAAGAGCAGGGAACCACGGGTGTATCTGTCTCATCTCATGTCCTCTGGCCCCATGCCCACAAAGTGCCCAGTAAATGCTTGAAAAACAAGTAAGTCATTGTACCCAACTGTCCACAGTAGGGGAATGAATAAGTTCACCACAGGAGAACGTGTCAGGGCTGCAGCCCCCCCAGGCACTGCTAACAACCATTGCTCTTGTTTTTGCAGCGAGAACGATGCCTCGTCAGAGAATGAGCAGTTGCTGAGCCGGAGCGTGGACAGTGATGAGGAGCCCGCCCCTGACAAGCAGGGCTCCCCAGAGCTGTGCCTGCTGTCGCTGGTTCACCTGGCCAGGGAGAAGTCTGCCACCAGCAACAAGTCAGCCGGGGTGAGGCTCCTGCAGGTGCCAGGATGAGCTGTGAGATGTGGCTCCCCCATAGCTGCACGACTAGAGCTTTCTTACTGAATCAGCTCTCCTGCAAGACTGGGTGTTTCTCCCAAAAGTCCAAGATAGGAGACCTGGACAGTGGCAGGTTCACAGCAAGATAGTCCAAAGGCGGGGAAAACACTTTTTTTTTTTTTAACCGGGAGTTTCACTCTGTCGCTCAGTCTGGAGTGCAGTGGTGCGATCTCAGTTCACTGCAATCTCCACCTTCTGGGTTCAAGCGATTCTCCTGTCTCAGCCTCCCGGGTAGCTGGGACTACAGGCGCATGCTGCCATGCCCAGCTAATTTTTTTTGTATTTTAGTAGAGACAAGGTTTCACAGTGTTGCCCAGGCTGGTCTCAAACTCCAAGTTCAGGCAATCCACCCGCCTCAGCCTCTCAAAGTGCTAGGATTATAGGCCTGAGCCACTGCCCCCAGCTACTTTCTTTTTATTATATAGCTTCACACACAAAAATGAAAAATAATAAGCAAAGAGAAAAAAGGTAAAATCATTTGGAATGCCCGAGGGCAGAAAAAGACCCTTGTAAACATACTGGGTTTTATCCAACCAGAAAATTTTCTTTTTTTTTTTTTGAGACGGAGTTTCGCTGTTGTTACCCAGGCTGGAGTACAATGGCACGATCTCGGCTCACTGCAACCTCCGCCTCCTGGGTTCAGGCAATTCTCCTGCCTCAGCCTCCTGAGTAGCTGGGATTACAGGCACACGCCACCATGCCCAGCAAATTTTCTTTGTATTTTTAGTAGAGACGAGGTTTCACCATGTTGATCAGGATGGTCTCGATCTCTTGACCTCGTGATCCACCTGCCTCAGCCTCCCAAAGTTCTGGGATTACAGGCATGAGCCATCGCGCCCGGCCTTCCAACCAGAAAATTTTCTAAACACACACGTGCACACACACACACACACACCATTTTTCTTGTATGCATTTTTTAAAATATAAAAACAAACTCACATGTAGAAACTGTCCCCAGGGTTTTATCATCACCTACCACCCTGTAATGTGCTGTGGCCAGGAGCAGGGTGGGGGTGAGAGCGAAGGTGGGCCGAGCCCTCTTGGGGTGGGCCTGGCCTGTGGTCGTCCCTCTAATCTGTGCCCCTGGCTGCAGACCTCAGCCGCAGACAGCTGTGTTGCTAGGCAACATCAGTGATGGTAAAATGCCCAGTTGAGATCTTGGCTCTGGCCTGGTCCTGATAGGATGCCATGCTCTGGCTGCCCCAAGTTCAGTGACCCCTATAAAGCAGCTGCCACTTGCAGGGACCCTGGAAGCCTGTGGAGTTGTTACAAGAGAGATAGGTGGCCATGGCCCCAGGACTCTGCAGCCCCATCACTTATCCTAGACTTAGCTGCCCTCTCCCTGCCCTCGAGTGTCCCCGAAGTCGGATGGCCTTGGGAGCCTCCAGCCACCCCTCCCATCAGCTTTCTGAGCCAAATCAGGCTGTCTCCCTGTAACCTGGGCTTGGGTGTGGGCAGGTAAGAGGCAACAGGACTAGGACAGTCAGCACTGCAATCTGAAATCATAATCCTCAGCTTCCAGTTCCTGCAAAGTCCACTCTCTAAATTACTTTATTAACCCGTGGCCTGGTCTCCTGGCACCAGCCACATGATCTGGAATGGGAGCCCTGCTGCAACACAGATGTCCTGAGAGCAAGTGGGAGTCCCATGGTCATCTTTTCAAACAGACTGATGCCAGGGGTGTCCCCAAGTGTCTTGTGAGTCTGACCACCCAGCTGAACCTAAGAAGCACCCTTGGTGGGCCCCAAAGTTGTTTGAGTGGGAAAACCTGAAGAGGCCCTCCTCCCTGTGTGTCAGGGCTGGGGTGATGACGGGGGTCTGTGTGCAGCATCTCTGGTGTTGGACGCAGCTGCCCCTGCCCTGCTGACATCGAGGATTTGCCTCCTCACTGCTGTTGCCACCTTTCTGGAGGTGAAAATTCTCGTCTTTTTTACAGATTCAAAGCCGGAGGAAAAAGATCCTGGATGTGTATGCCAATGTCTGTGGAGTCGTAGAAGGTAAGCTGAAAGAAAGCCTGAGAGAAGTGGTGCCCACCCCACCGACGTGAAGGGCTGTGCCTGGAACCCTGAGGCTCCTGTAAGGGGAACTGAGGGAAGCCGCCCATGTGGTTGCCGCGCTCGGGTCAGAATGGCCGCTGGAGCAGAATTCAGAAGTGGGGAAATGGAATCTGGCTCCCAGATATTAGAAGGCATCTCCCAGGGCTTCCATGGCCCTTCTCCGCATGGGGTGGAGAAAGCCCAGTGCAGGCACCCACTGTAGGGACACACAGGGTCAGGGAGCAGGACCCATGCAGCCTCAGACCTCCCGTGTCCCCAGTGCCTGTCCATTATCTGGGAAACGCAATCAGTCACTTATCCTAGACTTAGCTCTGCCCTCTCCCTGCCCTCAAGCATCCCAGAGGTCCGATGGCCCTGGGAGCCTCCAGCCTCCCCTCCCATCAGCTTTCTGAGCCGAGCCAGGCTCTCTCCCTGTAACCTGGGCTTGGGTGTGGGCAGGTAAGTGGCAACACGACTGGGACTATCAGCAGTGCAATCTGAAATCATAATCCTCAGCTTCCAGTTCCTGCAAAGTCCACTCTCTAAATTACTTATTAACTCCGAAGATAAACCCCTCGTGACTGAGATCAGGGGTTTTACTGCTGTTGGCCTTGCTGTCCTCCCTCCTCAGATTCCTTGGCTTGGCCAGGCAACGGGAGTGGAGCCTGATGCACGAAGGGCAGCTCGCCAGTGCCCCCAATACCCTTCCTCCTATCCCCAACCCCACCGTAGGCCAAGTGCAGCCCCCTGTGGCCTGGCGGGCTTTCCGGTCCAGTGCTTCATTGGCCAGAAATAACTATACTGTGGGTGAACTCCAGGGCCAAGAATTCTTGGCTGCCTGCTGAAATGTGGCATCTCTCCATAAACACATGTCCCAGGTCAGCCTGCCTGATCTCACCTGGCATGGCCTGGGGCTGTCAGCTGCCCAGGGGAAGATGGCCTAGGACTCACCTTCCATCCACCAGGAAGCTCTTTTCTGCTCCAAAAAATGTTGAATCCACACTCCTGGGGCAGGGGTTTTCAAATTAATTTTAGGAACCTCACATGTAAAAGAATTCCTTCCAGTGAGCCTGAGAGGGGCAGGAGCTTGCAGCCCCATGTTCTCAGCCACCTTCAGCGCCCAGGTCTGCCCGATGCTGACACAGCCAGAGCCGAGAACCTGAGCCCAGTGCCCAACCCTGATGAGCATTAGAGTCACCTGCAGGTCTTAACACCATCTCTGCCCAACCAGCCCACTCCATCTGCTGCAACACCCTGATGTGACTAGTCAGGGGTGAATCCCAGGCATCTGTGTCTCTTTCTTGTTGTTGTTGTTGTTTTTGTTTTTAATTAAACTTTTTATTTTGAGATACTTCTTACCATGCAGTGCTAAGAGATAATACAGAGAGATCCCGCATGCCCTTTACCCAGTTTCTCCTAAGAATAACATCTTGCAAAATATACACAGAAGTCACAACCAGGACATTGATATTGGCACAGTGAGGCTAGACAGCTTTCATATGAAGACCTCTCTTCTTGCCCTTTTATAGCCAGTCAATTCCAACCCACCTCACCCTCACCTAGGCCCCTGGAAACCACTAATCTGTTCTCCATTCCTGTAATTTTGTCATTTCAAGAGCGTTATATAAGTAGAATCACATAGTATGTAACTGTTGGTGAATGGCTTTTGTCACTCAGCATAATTCACTGGAGGCCCATCCAGGTTGTTCCATGTATCAATAGTCCGTTTCTCTCTATTGCTGAGGAATGAAAACCCCTGAGGTGAGGGATTTTCCCACTGCTGGCCTCCTCAGACTCCTTGGCCTGGCCAGGCAGCCTGGTGCACACTGCGCAGGTAGTAGTCTGTGGCATAAATGGACCAGAGTTGGTTTAACCATTCACTTGTTGAAGAATATCAGGGTTATTTTCAGTTAAGGGCTATCATGAATAAAGATGCTATAAATATTTGTGTATAGGTTTTTGTGTGAACATCAATCGTGATTTATCTGGCATAAAGATGCAGGAGTGCATTTGTTGCGTTGTATGATAGTTGCATGGTTGGTTTTTTTAAAAACTGCCAAACTGTTTTCCAAAGTGGTTGTACCATTTTACATTCCAACTAGCAGTGTGTGAATGGTCTAGTTTCTCCATATCCTTGCCAGCATTTGGTGGTGTTACTAAGTTTTGCTTTAACTATTCTGAGAAGTGTGCTGTGATATCTTATTGTGATCTTAATTTGCATGCTCCTGTTGTTTGAATATCCTTTCTTGTGTTTATTTTTCATCTATATGTCCTTTTCAGTAAAATGTTTCTTCATGTCTTTTGCCCATTTTTTTCAATGGGATTGTATGATTTTTATGAGTCAAATTTATGAAATTAATTATAAAGTTTCCTTTTATGGATTGTGCTTTTTGTGTCAAATCTAAGATCTCTTTTGCCTAGTCCTAGATCCTAGAGATTTGCTCCCAGTTTTTTCTAGAAATTTTATAGTTTTATGTTTTACATTTAAGTCCACATAGTTTGGCTTTTTTTCTTTTTGAGATGGAGTTTCACTCTTATTGCCCAGGCTAGACTGTAATGGTGTGATCTTGGCTCACCTCAACCTCCACCTCCTGGGTTCAAGCAATTCTCCTGCCCCAGCCTCCCGAGTAGCTGAGATTACAGGCATGCACCACCATGCCTGGCTAATTTGTATTTTTAGTAGAGACAGAGTTTCTCCATGTTGGTCAGGGTAGTCTCAAACTTCCAACCTTCACCCACCTCAGCTTCCCAAAGTGCTGGGATTACAGGTGTGAGCCACCACGCACCCCTAAGTCCACATAGTTTTTATGTTTTGCATTTAAGTTCACATAGTTTTGTATTTTGCATTTGAGTTTATTTTTATAGAAGATATAATACTTGGATCAAAGTTCATTTTTTTGTCTATGGATGTCCAAATGCTCCAGCACCATTTTTTTGAAAAAGTATCTTTCCTCCATTGAATTGCTTTCAAAGTTTTGTCAAAAACGGGTTTGGTATATTTGTATAGGTCTATTTTCTGGGGTCGCTCTTCTGTTACACTGATCTACATGTCTGTCCCTCTGATAATACCACAGTCTTGATTCTTGAATAAGTTATATAATAACTTACATAGCTCTTGAAATCAAATAGACTGCTCCTATTTTCTTTTACTTTTTCAAAAATATTTTAGCTATTCTAGTTCCTTTGCCTTTCCTTATAAGTTTTAGAATAATCTTCCCTATATGTACAAAATGCCTTGCTGGGATTTTAACCAGTTGCAACAAAACTGTATCCGGGAATATTTTGACATCTTTATCTATTGAGTATTCTGAGCCATGAACATGGTTTATCTCTTCATTTATTCAGCCTACCTTTGATTTTTTTTCATCTGCATTATGTAGTTTCCAAGTTACAAGTTCTGTGTGTATTTTGCTAGATTTACACTATATTTTTTTATTTTTGGAGCAACTGTAAATGACATTTTAAAGTCAGTGGCCATATACATTCATTATTAGTTATATAGAAATACAATTGACTTTGATATGTTTACCTCGTATCCTGTGACCTTGCTGAATTCACTTATGGGAGTTTCCTTGTAGATTTTCCTTGGGATTTTCTACATAGATAATCACATCTGCAAATGGGACAGTTTTATTTCTTCTTTTCCAATCTGTATACCTTTTCTTTCCTTTTCTTGTTTTATTCTTTCATTTTCTCATTTCATTGCACTGGCTATATCTTCCAGCACTACAGTGAATATAAGTGATGAAGTGGAAGCAGAAATCCTTTCCTTATTTCTGATCTTAAAAGCATTCCATTTTCATCATTAAGTATAATATTAGCTCTAAGCATTTTATAAATGGTTGATATTAATTTTTTGAGTGGATTGAAATAATTTGTAAATATTGAACCAGCCTTGCCTCCAAAAAAGCCATACAATTCTTTTTTGTACGGTTGCATTCTATTTGCTAATGTTTTGTTAAAGATTTTGCATTTATACTCACAAAAGATATCGGTCTGTGGGTTGTAGTTTGTTTTTTATCTTCGTCTGGTTTTGGTATCAAATTTATACTTCCCTCACAGAATAAATTAGGAAATGTTTCTTCTTTTTCTATTTCTAGAAAAGATCATATAGAATTGCTATTAACTTTTTATTGAACATTTTGTAGAATTCTTCAGTGAAATCATGTGGACCTAGAGATTTCTTTGGGCGAGATTTTTATTTTTCAAGATGGAGTCTCACTCTGTCACCCAGGCTGTAATGCAGTGGCATGATCCCAGCTCACTGCAACTTCCATCTCCCAGGCTCAAGCGATTCTCCTATTCTCCCAAGTAGCTGGGATTACAGGCATGTGCCACCATGTCCAGGTAATTTTTTTTTCTTTTTTTGAAATGGGGTCTTGCTCTGTCCCAGGCTGGAGTGCAGTGGCATGATCTCAGCTCACTGCAATCTCTGCCTCCCAGGTTCAAGCAATTCTTCAGCCTCAGCCTCCTGAGTAGCTGGGATTACAGGTGCATGCCACCACACCCAGCTAATTTTTGTATTTTTAGTAGAGACAAGGATTTGCCATGTTGGCTAGGCTGGTCTCAAACTCCCGACTTCGTGATCCACCAGCCTCAGCCTCCCAAAGTGCTGGGACTACAGGCATGGGCCACCGTGCCCCGTTCTAATTTTTGTATTTTAGTAGAAATGGCCACCATCTTGGCCAGGCTCATCTTGAACTCCTAACCTCAAGCAATCTACCTACCTTGGTCTCCCAAAGTGCTGGGATAACAGATGTGAGCCACCACACCCATCTGAAGATTTTTAAATTACAAATTCAGCTTCCTTAATAGTTAGAAGTCTATTCAAATGATCTATCTTATATTGAATAAGCTGTGGTGGTTTATATTTTTTGAGGAATTGTTTATTCTCATCTAAGTTGTCAAATTTATGCATGTACAGTTAGAGTTGCATAGTTTTCCCTTATCTGTTTGATATCTACAGTGTCTGTAGTGATATCTCCTGCTTCATTCTTGATATTGGTAATTTATATCTTCTCTATTTTTTGTCAGTTATGATGATATTTTCAAATAACTGTCTCTTTTCAATATTCATTTTCAACTATTGAATATCATTTTCAAATATTGATCTCTTAAATTATTGTTGTCAATTTCATTGATTACTGCTCTTGTTTTTAAATTATTTATTTCTTTCTATGTACATTTGGTTTATTTTGTTAATCTTTTTCTAAGCACTTGAGATGGGAGCTTAGATTATTAACTTGAGAGTTTTCCTCTTTTGTATGTATTTGTGCTATAAATTTCCCTCTCAGTACTACTTTAACTGTGTCTCGCAACTATTAAGATATTGTATTTTTATTTTCATTCATTTTAAAATTTTCATTGAGACTTCTTTGACCTGTAGATTAGATGACTGTTGTCTAGTTTTCAAATGTGTGAAGATTTTTCTGTTATTGATTTATATTTTAATTCTGTTGTGGTAGAGGAATATACTTTGTATAATTTCATCTTTTAATTTGTTGAGGTTTAAGGCCAGTAATTATAGAGAACGTGTATTCTGCTCTTGTTGAATGGAATGTTCTATAAATGTTGATTAGATCTTGTTGGTTGACGATTGTTAAGTTCTACATTCTTGCTGATTTTTTTCTTTTATTTCTTTTATTTTTTATTGCGTATTAGGTTTTGGGGTACATGTGCAGCTTGCTGATTTTTTTCTAATTGTTCTATCAGTTACTGAGTGAGGAATGTTAAGGTCGTCAACTATAATTGTGAATTTGTCTCTTCTTTCAGGTCTATCAGTTTTTGCTTTACATATTTTGGAGCTCTGTTATTTGGTGCATATTCATTTAGGATTCCTGTGTTTTCTTGGATTGACTCTTTTATCATATTAAATGTCACTTTCTGGTAATTTTTTCCTCTGAAGTCTACCTTAACTGATGTCCTAGCCACTCTGCCTTCTTTTTATTGAAGTTTGCATGATATGTATTTTTTCATCCTTTTACTTCCAACCAGCCTCTCTCATTATATTGAAATGAGTTTCTTGTAGACAGCCTCTAACTGGGTAAATTTTTAAATCCACTCTACCAAGCTCTGCCTTTTAGTTTTTTCACTGTTGTTGTTGTTTTGTTTTTGTTTTTGTTTGAGTTTCCACTCTTGTTGCCCAGCCTAAAGTGCAGCAATGTGATCTTGGCTCATTGCAACCTTCACCTCCCAGGTTCAAGCAATTCTCCTGCCTCAGCCTCCCAAGTAGCTGAGATCACATGCATGCCCCACCACACCCAACTAATTTTGTATATTTAATAGAAATGGGGTTTCACCACGTTGGCCAAGCTGGTCTTGAACTGCCAATCTCAGGTGATCCACTTGCCTTTGCCTCCCAAAGTGCTGAGATTACAGGTGTGAGCGTGATTACGACGCTCAGCCTTCAGTTAGTATTTAAACCATTTACATTAAATGTAGTCCTTGTCATGTTAGGGCTTAATTAAGTCTGCTATTTTGTATTTTGTTTACTGTTTGTCTCTGTTTTTCATTTCTGTGTTTTTTTATTCCTGTTTTTTTTGTGGATCACTCGAATGTATTTTAAATTTGATTTTGGTGTTTTTTGAGTGATATGTTTTGATTTTATCTTTTTCCATAGTTTTTTTAGTAGTTCTTCTAGACATTGCATTTACACATATAGCTTATCAGTCTACTGGTGTTGTTATTATTACTATTATCATTTGAGATGGAGTCCTCACTCTGTTGCCCGGGCTGGAGTGCAGTGGCCCAATCTTGGCTCACTGCAACCTCTGCCTCCCAGGTTCAAGCGATTCTCCTGCCTCAGCCTTCTGAGTAGCTGGGATTACAGGTGTGCACCACCACGCTGAGCTGTTTTTTGTGTTTTTAGTACAGACAGCGTGTCATCATGTTGGCCAGGCTGGTCCCATACTCCAGACCTCAGGTGATCCACCCATCTCAGCCTCCCAAAGTGCTAGGATTACAGGCACAAGCCACCATGCCTGGCCTTACTGGTGTTATCATTTTGCCAATTCGAATGAAGTATAAAAACCTTACCTTTCTTTATGTCCCTTTATCTTCCCTGTTTATAGTAGTTGTAAATATTTCCTCTATACATATTTATAACCATATAAATTGCTTCAACTACCTAACATAATTCAGAAAACTTAAAAAGAGGAGGAAAGTCTATTGTATTTGCCCATAGTTTTGCTCACTATGTTCTTTCCTGATGATTCAAGTTTCATTCTTTTATTTCCTTTCTGTTTATAGAATTTCCTTTTGCTTCTTTTCGGGTAGGTCTGCTGGTGATAAATTCTTAATTTTTCTTTGACTTGAATGTCTTGATATTCTCATGCATTCCTGAAGAATATTTTCACTCAGCTCACTGCAAGCTGGTCTGCAACGCTGGATTGAAAGTTCTTTTCTTTCAGCACTTGTAAATACCATACTACTCCTCTCTGGCCTCCAGATTTCTGATTATATATCTATTGTCATTCTAATTGTTTTCCCTCTCTAGGTCAGACATTGTTTTCTTTGGCTGTTTCTAAGACTGCCTTTTGTTTTTAGAAGTTCATTTGTGATGTATTTTGATGTGAATATATTTGGGTTTACCCTGTTTGGGATTTGCTTAGCTTCTTGAATCTGTAGACTTATTTCTCTTGATAAATTTGGGGAATTCTAAGACATCATTTCTTTGAGTACTTATTTAGCCCCATTCTCTTCTTCTCTCCTTCTAACACTTCATGACGCAAATGTTAGCTCTTTTGTTATTACCCCACAGTTCCCTAAGGCTCTGTGTTTTTCAGTTTATTTTCTGAGACTGAGTAATTTCAACTTCTAATTTTCATTATCCATCTCACTGATTCTTTCCCCTGTCTTTATTTTGCCATTGAGCACATCTACTGAGCTTTTTATTGTGATTATTGTATTTTTTTAGTTAATATTTTCATTTCTTTCTTACGCTTTCTATATTTTTGGTGAGGATTTCTGTTTTTGCAGTTGTTTTAAGTGTGTTGATAATTGCTTGTTAAAGCACTTTTATTATGGCTTCTTTAAAACCGTTTTCAGATCATCTAACATCTGTCATCTCAGTGTTAGTATCTATTGATTTGCTTTTTTCACTCATTTGACATCTTCCTGGTTCTTGGTATGATGAGTGCATTCACTTTGAAACCGGTGCAGTTTCATGTCCTGATATAAAACTCTGGGTCTTACTTAAGCCTTTTATTTTAGCTGGCTCCTTTCGATAGCTGTGTGGCAGGAGAATGAGGGTGCTGTCTTGCTATTGTCTGGTGAAGGTAGATGTCCAAATTCCCCACTCACTCTTCACTGACATGCAATGCGGGCTCCTTTTTACTGCTATTTGAGATTTGGGAGTATGGCTCCCGACATGGTCACCACAGGAACAGGGGAGTTGTTACCAGCTGGTTGATGAGAAATTCCCAGTTCCCTATATGGCCTTTCCTGACACCACTTGGCACAGTGTTACAGCCTGGTGAGGGTGGAAGTCTAGGCTCCCCACTCAGCCTTTGCTACCCTGGATGGAATAGGGACAGTTTTTTCTGTGGTGTTTGGCTAGAATAGAGCAATTATTGTCTAAATGTTTCATGCTTGCTAGGCTGCTCTTTTCCTAGTGTTCTAACTAGAGAGAGAACACTTCTGTTGGGGCTGTTTTTGTCTGTGCTTGCTATTATTTCTGGATTTCTGGACTTTTCTGCCCCATGTCTGGAATATATGAGGCAAAAGAAAACCTAGGGAACTTACCACCATCCCATCCATATCGAGGTCCCTAGTTGGTCTGTCTTCTCTCCACTTTTCAGAGCCTTCTTGGGTTTGTTTTATTCAGAATGGGAGGATAAGGGAAAATTCTATCTACTCTTATCTTCCAGAAGCAGCAATATCAACTTTTTAAATGCTCCTAGGTGAGTCTAATGTACAGTGAAGCCTGAGAACCATCAGACCACTGAGTTGACAGTGACTTGGTTCAGATAACCCAAATCTCGGGCTATCACTGAGAGCACCCACCATAAAGTTGACTACTGTTCCCTAAAGAGACATGATACCATCCCTTTGACCCCTTCCTCAGCCCAGCCCCATAGGAGACAGGGTTACCCAACTAAGGATAACTTGTCTTGAAGTCTTTGAGAACTGCTAAAAATGGTCATGAGGGGATTACTATCATAGTCAATACAGCAGTCATTTTCCTAGTGGGGAAGTGGCTACTACTGGGGTTAGGGTACATGCACAGCCTTCTCTTGGGGCTGGCACTGTTCTAGGTGTTGTTTGCCTTAAGTTATGCATTTGTTTTAGGTGGCTTTCTGCATGTGTTTTGTTTTACAATTTTAAAAATTTTCCAAATAATTTTTATTTCATTTAAATAATTTTTCATGGTGTTGACCTTCTATTGACTGTGACTTGCAACATCTAACTGTGGCCATTGGTGTCTGTAGGTCTCAGCCCCACAGAGCTGCCATTTGATTGCCTCGAGAAGACTAGCCGAATGCTCAGCTCCACGTACAACTCTGAGAAGGCTGTTGTGAAAACGTGGCGCCACCTCGCTGAGAGCTTCGGCCTGAAGAGGGATGAGATTGGGGGCATGACAGACGGCATGCAGCTCTTTGACCGCATCAGCACAGCAGGTTATAGCATCCCTGAGCTGCTCACAAAACTGGTACAGATTGAGCGGCTGGATGCTGTGGAGTCCTTGTGTGCAGACATACTGGAGTGGGTGGGGGTTGTGCCCCCTGCCTCCCAGCCACATGCTGCATCCTGAAAAGCATGCTTGTGGGCTGTCCTGCCAGGGCAAGCCAAGGATCTAACGAGGGCTCTGGAGCTGTGAGTGGTGCCAAAAACTTCGAAGAATCAAGGGTTTTGTGATATGTCATCCTATGCCTTAGGATGTTCAAGGAGGCAGACAAAATGAGGCCTGTCTTTTAATCTAACCAAAGATAAAAGACTAGATCTGGAATACTTTCAGATGCTTGCCTGTACTTCACGAGGCAGAGTCAATATCCACTCACTCATTGCACAGTGAGACAATGTTGAGAATTCAAATGAACCAAACCACGTGGGAATGACAGAAGTGAAGAATCTGGCCCCTGTTTTTAAGGAGTTTGCACTCCAGTAGAAGACAGAAGGAACATATGTTTACAAACCACTTCACTGGAAGACATCAAACAAGCTGAATGAAGGGGTGCTTGGAAAACGTAATAGAAGTTTTCAGGGGGAGATGACTCCCTACTGGGACGATGAAGGATGGCATCCGAGTGAAGAAGCAGCTCAAACATTTTGGTAAAATAGCTACAAAATGCAGACGCACTGTTCCAGGTATTATTTCAGGTTTCGTACAAGTCTGTTAATATCCTATGTGGTTTCATTAGGATAACTTGACCTATCCTTGAGGTCATCCATATACTTACAGCCCTTCCAGTCAGTAAGAAGAGCTCACTCTATACAAAACCAGTATGCAGGGTGTGTGTGTGTCCAAGCAAGTGGATACGTGCAGTAGCCAATTTCATTTACTGCGTGAGTCTTTGGCCTGGGAAACCTGTGGTTTGCATTACACATGAATGGTCTTCCACTCTCAGCCTTAGGCAGATTTGACCTTTTAGGCGCAGCAATGCTTAAAAACACAGCATTTTATATTATGTGCCAGGCTGTGTTTTTGCTTCAAACATGTATGAGTAGTCAACTCTAATTAGAAAGAGAAATTACGAATTCCTAAGAGTTCAGCCACACATAATGTTAGATTTCAAGAGCATCTGAGATTAGTGGATTAGCCTTATGGTGTAAGAGTCTGAAACTCAGCCTTCTGAGCCAGTCAGGGGAAGTAGAGTCCTACGGTGCAAATGAGAGCCTGGGCTTGGAGTCCGGGAAGCTGGGCTCTAGTTGTGTCACCTTAGCCTCAGCCTCAGTTTCTCTTCTGCAAATGAGATGTTAGTCAGTGATTCTATAATCAGGGCAGGTGGCGTTCAGGTGAGCAAGAAGAAAGTGGAGCTGTAGGAAATGCCAGGCCTTTGAGGTGCTCCATAGAAGTGAATACAGTGTGGGTTGTCCATTCAAATGGGAATAAAAACAGAAAAACTCAGAATTGGCATTTTCACAGTAACTGCAATGGTTTGACATAACATTTATAGGCAGAAAGTTAATAAACTGGCATTGTTCTTGGCAAATTCTCTTACTATCCCTGTAACTGCCAAGAACTCAGGAGCCAGGATAGTGATCACGCCAGGGGTTAATTTAGAGTTCACTGCTGAGCTCCCTGATGGCAGGTCTGACTGTGTTTATTACTAAATTAAAACAAAGCCTCTGACTTATAAAGCAAAGTTGTAAAAATTACAAGTTGCATGACTGAACAAATGCTTTGGGGGGAAAATCAGTCATACCTTTAACACCAACAAGCAATTTCCCGCCAACGAATGTAGTACATACTGTGAGAGGATCATAATGAGGTCCTGAATATTTAATTTCATCATTTACTGTGTCTGTTTGCTGCTGTTTTTTAGAACCTATTTGGTTTATCCTGCAAGCTAAATACTCCACGGCAGAGCTTAATTATCCTGTTAATTCCTCTTTGAAATCCTGTGGTGCCCCCTTCCCCCTGCCTTGTGATAATGATGATGAGAGTCTCCCTTTAATTAGACTGCAAATGTCACTTGTGATGAGTGTGCCGTTCCAGGAAAACAGCTTGCACCCTCCTCAGAATGTTTTCAGTGAAGGAGCAGGGTGGCTGTTCTCTGCTCCTGGTGCTTTGGCCTCATTTCACACTATTAATATTCTGTGGCCATACGGCCAGGCCAGCATCAGCTCATGTTCCATTGGCTCTCCACCTGCCATTTTTAGGGAGCTATTCCTTATGTAGGTACACATTCCCTTGTCATTTACTTATTTGGAAACAAGGGATTTACTCTCACAAGCTTCAGCCTATGTTATGGGATTCAGAACAGTGAGATCATAATAATTCTCACTAACCAAAGCTGAGACTCCATCCTGACATTTTTGTGTGGAGATATTCATTATTTTGCAATACTTTAAAACATTTGGAAAACACCCCAGGGTAGGTCTGTGGCCCTTAGACAGTGAAGTCTTAATTGTCAATATTTTTGTCTAATTCTGTATATATATATAACTTATTATATTTTATAATCTCAATAAACATATTGATAAAAATATTTATAGAGTACTGTAATGTGAGCTCTTTGTGGTGGGGGGTGGTGAAGGTTCTGATTGCTCTGTTCCTGATTATTGCACTATGTATAATGAGACTGTAGGATTGCAACCAGCTATAAACAAAATGCCTAAAATGTTATGGCCTGGCCCATTCACTCAGCAGAAGCAAACATTACAAGGAGATCATGTAAAAACCACCTGGAGCATTGCTTTCCAAGTTGTCATCATTAGCTCATAAAGCATTGTATCATTTATCTGCTTCTGTATAAAAAAAAACTGTCTTCAAATTCAATGGCTTAAAGCAACAGTCACTTATTACCATAGCTTGGGGTTTAGTAGGGGATAAGTCAGCTGACCTAGGTTGAGCTCAGTTGAATGTGGCTCAGCTGGGGTCTCTGCCTGTTGGAATACCTTAACTGGGACTGCTCTACTCCATCATTTCTGTCAACCTAGATAACAGAAAGAGGCTCTCTCAAAGAAAATGACGATATGTATTGGGGAATAGGGCATTGCAATGGGAATATATGTGCCGTAGTAAACCTTGTGTGTATTTGAAGAGGTAAAAAAGACAAAGGTTTTTAAAGGAAAAATAAGGAGGATTACATAATTATTTTGAGACAATTATCCTTGGCTACAAGGATCAATAATAAGGGTGGTGCCAATCCAAGGTTGGACAGGGAGCTCCTGGGCAGAGGTCCTTGCGGGAGGCTTTGTGAGTGTGTGTGTTTAAGACTGTGATGGCCCTTGTGCAAGGTTGTAGTTTTTTCAGTCTTGTAATGGCTCTCGATATCAGTTATTTATGCATGAGAACCCTTCTTTCTGGCCTTCCATGGCTCTACTTGTCAGGTTTTTGTTTTGTTTTGTTTTTTTCACAAGTGACTCCTTTATAATTCTGACAACTTCCACATTTCCTCCATTTGATCAACATCTTTCTTAGAAAGCATCCCCGATCAATCATTCCATTGTTAGGTTTTGATTATTCCTCAGTGCCAGGATAGACTTAGCCTTGTCTGGTCTCACATTGGAGGGATTTGATGGTGACTAAAAGTTAGTGTCAAAACCCTTTAGTCATCCCATAATTAGGTTTTGATTATTCCTCAGTGCCAGGATAGACCTGTCCTAGGTGGCTGGTCTGGTCTCACACTGGAGGGATTTGATGGTGACTAAAAGTTAGTGTCAAAACCCTTTAGTCATCCCATAATTAGGTTTTGATTATTCCTCAGTGCCAGGATAGACCTGCCCTAGGTGGCTGGTCTGGTCTCACACTGGAGGAATTTGATGGTGGTTAAAAGTCAGTGTCAAAACCCATTAGCCATGTTTGAACAAAACAGAAGTTTGGAGAGAGTGGCTCTCAGGCTATGTCTACTTGAAGTGTATTGCTAAGCTTGATTTTGTCTGTTCTGTAAACATTTGCTGTCATCTCAAAATGCAAGGCCAGTATTATTCTGTTGAAGGTATACTTCTACTGAGATTTGACAAGCAGCAGATAGGAAGTTTAAAAAAGGAAAATTAAAATCAATAGTAATATGAGAATCCCAGTTTGCATAATGGTTTTGAGCCATGAATACAGGCTTAAAGGCAAACAGATGAAACTGAAATAACCATGAGGAAATAGGTGAGCCTTCTTGTAACCTTGTGGCCTTTATTTTGTGAACATGGGTCTCAACTTTTCCAGAGGAACTTATCTAGGTACAGCATATAGTATTAGAAACAGCATAGACAAAGATGGCTACCAGAAGTATTTCATGCCAGTCTCTTCCACTTAGAACAAAAATCGTGTGTAGACAGTCACACTTTGAATACGTTATCCAAGAGAGAACACTGGAATTCAACAGAGAAGTGGCAGGAAACACCAAAAGCAGGGAAGGAGAATGGAGACACGCAGCCTGCCTGGCCAGGATCAACTGGGAGCTGGGAGTAACTTCTCAATTCAGGGAAAGAGTGAATGAGAAACTTCCAGTGGCCCAGATCCCCACCATGAAATCATGTAATCCTGACCATTAGAGACCCCTCAACCCTCCCAACCACTGAAGCTAACATAGGGAGTTGCTGGGAGACGGTGGGATGGAACGGCTCCAGAGATGGAGCTTGCACTGGACCCCACACCTTTCTGAGACCTAAGTAACTACAGCAAGGCACCATTTTCAAACCTAGTCTTGGGTAAACTGCATGCTGTCCTGGGACCCACAGGCACTGGGACTGAGGTGTTAACGAAACCCAGATTGTCGCTGCTGGGAATGGGGAGTGAGCTGCAAGCACTCCCACAGCCAGGGCTAAGAAACAAACAAGGAAAGAGTTGTAGTTGCTGACGCCAGGAAGTCAGTGCTGCTGGGACAGAGACTGGGAGGCTGAAAGGGTGTAAGTTGCCGCCAAGACTTGGTCACCAGCTGAATGGGGCCTCCTGCAGCCAGGTTGGGAGTATGAGATAACACTGCCAAGTCTGGAAAGCAAGCTCCACTGGGACTGTGGAAAGGACATACATTCCCACCCTCTAGCCCAGGCTGTGGCCAGAGACCACAGTCACACTCTGTCCAGTGGAAACATTGCAGCACAGTTGCTACCATCCCTTACCTGGGCACTCTGCCTGGGGCCTGAGGATCACCTCACCTCTGGCCACCAACAGTGGTGCATGCTTTCACCAAGAGGCCTGAGCACAAATCTGCCCCAGCTTTGTACCACTCTTTGAGACAAGGCACATATCCTGGGGTCCTGGGGATTGTGCAGTGCAATCCACCACCTTGGGTACCTGAGCACTCTTTCTGGGGCCTATAGTTGGACCTAAATTCCAAGCCACCACCACCTCACCTGGAACTTCCTTGCAAGTGCCACCTGAGGCTTAGAGGCTGTCCCACCCAGCCCATCACAGCAACCACCAACATCAGTGCACACCAATTGGAACCCAAGAATCATACTGCTCTTGCTACTGCCATTGCTCATGCTATGCCAGCTGCCCAAAGGCCCAAGAATCCACCTACACACCCAGTCCATTGCTGCCACTACCAGCATCTGAACATGCTACCTGGAGGCCCAGAAATCAGCCTGCCAACAGAGGTGCCAGCATATACAGCCCTGGGGCACAACAGGCACACTTGGCCCATTGCTGTCACCATCAGAACCTGAAGACTGACCCACCTGGCATCTCAACCCCTAGTATAACTTCACCCTAACCCAGTGGGGAAATCATGGATGCCACTAACACTATTTACAGCCCAAAAAATCATACAGAGACTACATGCACCCAGAATCAAAGCCAAAGTACCCTGCTCAACCAAAACCATAGATACACCTTTAGGAAAAAGTCCTCTTCTATGAAAGAAATTCCAAAACACGAAGAAGCAATAGTTACTGCAAATTTGCAGAGATCTACTTAAGGACAAAGGAAACATGAAAAATTAAGGAGATGTGATGCCTCTAAAGGAACATCAGCAATAGAGCATAATCAAAAATAAATTTTTGAAATCCCAGATAATTTGAAATACTGATTTTAAAGGAGCTCCATGATATACAAGAGAAATCTGAAAAACAATTACAAAGAAATCAGAGAAACAATTCAGGATATGAAAAAAAAATTTACCAAAGAGATTTTTTTTTTTAAAGAACCAAGTAGAAATTCCAGAACTAAGGAATTCATTGAAGGAAATATAAAATACATTTGAAAGCTTCAGGAGAACGATCCAAGAGGGCCGATCGCTAACATCCCGGGATTGCAGCTCTCAGGGAAGGCGCGGAGAACTAGAGGATGCCACACTTTCAGACAAAGTCTGGTCGCTCACGGAGCAGAAGATCCCCCAGTGGTGGAAACACACGAGTCGCCAGCGCGACTCTCGTGGTCGGTGCAGTGGTTCCGCTGGCACCTCGACCCGGCAGCGCTCAGCGCAGAGTAAACAGGACCGGTTCCCCTTCTGACTGAGGTTTGGAGCCCCGGGAAGGCAGAGTCGCCTACTACGGAAACAAGAAGGAAGCCTGACAGGAGAATCCTGGGCAGAAAAGCACCATCAGTTTTAACGCCGCTGCTCTGGCCCTGGGAACTAACAACCTGGACGTCCACTCAAGAGACCAAATCTGAAAGTTGGTAATTTCAAAGACGACAGGAGGATAAATTTACAATGACGGGAAGAAACCAGCGTAAAAAAGCTGAGAATACTCAAAGTCAGAACGCCTCTCCCTCTAAAGATGATCACAGTTCCACATCAACAATGGAACAAGGCTTGATGGAGAACGAGCGCCTCCTGATGACAGAATCACTCTTCAAGGAATGGATAATAACAAACTTCGGTGAGTTAAAAGAACATGTTGTAGCCCAACGTAAAGAAACTAGGAACTTTGAAAAAAGGTTTGATGAAATCCTATTGAGAATAGACAACTTAGAGAGGAGTATGAGTGAATTAATGGAACTGAAGAATACAATACAGGAACTCCGAGAAGTATGCACAGGTTTAAACACTCGAATTGTTCAAGCAGAAGAAGGGATATCAGAGTCCAACTTAATGAAATAAAACGTGAAGAAAAGATTAGAGAAAAAAGGATAAAAAGGAATGAGCAAAGTCTCCAAGAAATGTGGGACTATGTGAAAAGACCAAATTTACGTTTGATAGGTGTACCTGAATGCGACGGAGAGAAAGAATCAAAGCTGGAAAATACCCTTCAGGACATTATTCAGGAAAATTTTCCTAAACTAGCAAAGCAGGTCAACATTCAACCCCAGGTAATACAGAGAACACCACAAAGATATTCCTCAAGAAGAGCAACCCCAAGGCACATAATCGTTAGATTCACCAGGGTTGAAACGAAGGAGAGGATACTAAGGGCAGCCAGAGAGAAAGGTCAGATTACCCACAAAGGCAAGCCTATCAGACTTACAGCAGATCTCTCAGCAGAAACTCTACAGGCCAGAAGAGAGTGGGGGCCAATATTCAACATCCTCAAAGAACAGAACCTTCGGCCCAGAATTTCATATCCAGCCAAACTAAGCTTCACAACTGAAGGAAAAATAAAAT